AAGAAGAGAGAGACGTAGATCAAGATTGCTTATGATCACTGATATAAAACAAAACTTTTGAAAAAGAAAAGCAAAATCGATGAATGGATATAATATTCAAGACAAATCTTACTAAAACATCTTGGGTGTACTGTGGGAACGAAATTGGCCGATTGTCCCCTTACCATTGTTTACTGAACCGTTTCGACATAATTGACCAGGATGTGGAAAGGCTAAGTCCCCAGCCTGAATCACCAACGATACTTAAGGGCGTCTGGACTTACGTGGGGGATCCCGTAGCCCATCTTTCGCTCCTACGTCGGCGCCTGGGAAGATTTAGGGACCACTATCTTATCTGAACGCGGTGCACACTCTGATTCCTCGGGGCAGGAAACATAACGCGCTTGTGAGACCAGCAATAACAAAATAATGAAAGTGGTTATACTTACTGCACACTCTATTTCTAATCCTATTTGTTTTATTAGTACTTGATACACTTACCCAACTACCTGCAAGCACATACTGGCTCAATTATTTGACTTACACAGTCTTACATAACAACAAAGATCATCTATACATGTGTACATAACAAAAGATTAATAAAACTTTACTTTCAATAAACCACAATGCTATATCTGGGTCGCTTTCATCATCTAGCCCTAATGAAACTAATGAAACAATGCAGCATTTTCAGTTTAGTGATTAGTTTGGCTACAACTGCACCTACATATTTTAATATATTTAAGTTACTAGATAGGTCAATTAAGGACTCGAGACGATTGTATTGTTCCCTTCCAACTCTACACACATTGTACAAAGGAAATCATCACCTGAACTAGTGAGTTCACAAAATAAAACAATAAAAAAAAAGATTAGTTGGGTGTGGGTGTGAGACAATAAGAATAACTAATGGAATTAGAAGATACCAAGCTAGTCAAAATTTTTGTGCATCCATAATTTTGCCCCTTTCATCTGTTGATATGAAAGCGCGAACCAACTAACAATTAGCTCAGATAGTGAAAAATTCACTTTTCCTAAATTTCAGGGATCACCCACTTGTTAATGTTCCTTATAAACAATTTCCTGTATAAGTTTATTTCAAAATCGGTTTTTTTTCCTACATGTTGTTAAGGAATATAGCCACTCTTCCATTTGTGGTTTTTATTGAATAATTGCACGTAAGAATGCCCGTCCAACACAAAACCCTTAAAACCACATTAGGACTACTTCCTTCATAAAAGAAATATGCAAGACTTGGAACATGAAATAACCAATAAATATCACAACAATACAAATGACCTAGCTATTATCTGGAAATGCAAAGTTGCAGAAGTTTCTGTTGTGGTACGTCCTTCTCAAATCCACTATCTAGAAACACAAGAATCTGAGATATTAATTTGTCAATTTCAATTTCAACCAACATCTTAATAACTGAACAGTGTGGTAATCAGAGGAACGCAATAACATCTCAGTGTTGGGTCTCATCACACTCATATTACAACAGATTGTGGCTCTTCCAGGGTGGTTAAAGTGGGAAAGTTGTGGCTCTCATACCCTAGTATTGGGGAGACGGGCTAAGCGCTTTATTCAGTATTTATTTTATACAACAAAAACATATTCAGACTAATTCCCTCTTGAAAGGAATTCTTCTTGTCGCATAAGTTTTGGCATTTCTAGTTGTCAAATGAACAATCAGAAACATTTAAAAGATGTTACCAAAAATCAAATTCCATTTCATGGTAATTGACAACCATAATTATTACACTTCCACAAGTAATTAACAATAATTAAATGTTCAGTGTCGCCATGATCATTTTATTCCATGTTCACGGCCAATTATATGGCACAAATACTTAATTTGTTCACATTTCCTATGTTTTAATTTTCCTACCTACCACTCTCCAAATTTTACTATCCACACAAATTTGCAATTAAAACACCAAAGTTACCCATTGGACAGACAAAAGACTTGTTTAACAACGATGTGAGATATGAAGGATTCAAAGGCAAAAGGGACTATTATACAAAATAACTCCAAAAACTCAAATTAAAAAGATAGACACAAAAACACGAGTGTTATGATACAAACATTACCACGTTGCTAACATTTTTGCCATGTCAAGTAATTATCTTATCAACATGATACAACAAGAACAGGATACAATGCTCAACATAACTGAAAATAAATAACACTTTAAAAAAAGGATTTAACATATTCCTTGTTTTGAACTAATTTTCAGCAATATGTGTCCCCATTTTCGCTGACAAATTCTCTTTTCTCATATAATATCAATAAAAATTTAATTGTTTTTTACTGAGTTGTAATGAGTATTTCCTCGATTCTTTTTCCTTTCCCTCTTCTCTTATTAAACTACGATAACTGAACATGAACAACAGCATTGAGTTGCTCAATCATAAAAACAAAATGTTTAATGCCACTGGTGTATTTTTATAAGTTATTAATTGTGAAAATAGGGAAATGACAAAATGAATCAATAAAAAATCGTTCCTTTGATACAAATTTATAAGATTCAAAGAGGTACAAAAAATCACAATGTGCAATTATGGTAATGCATAAGACAGCCTAACACATTAATAAATAAAATTTAATAATCAAAACAATGTATAGTAGCATCTTAATCTTGGAAATGTTCAGAAACATTATATTCCTGTAAACATATAATTATGCTTTTGAAGATAAAGTTTACTTTAAGACAGTTTGTAATTCAAATAAGAAAATATCTTAACTTTTCAAATAATTTAGAATTAAATAATAAAATCAAGATTCACGCAATCTATTACCCTCCAACTACCTTAGATAATTTTATTAAACTATTCACATGTACAATAACATGTTTTGTCCACAGGTTAATTTTAATTTAACTTCAAACACGTAGGTTTTAGGTTCAATCCATGTTACTAAGTATTTTCCTGTTCATATGCCAAATTTACACTGAAAAACATTAAAAATTTAAAGGAAAAACAAGTTTTTCCCCTTGCTCATATTAAGCATTATAAACATTGCACTAAGGAATTGTTTCAATGCTGGATCATGCTTCCTACACAAAAGCAGCTGATACTCTAGCAGAAAAGTAAACAAGAAATATAATAACATATACGGAGATTTAAAAAAATAAGAAAAAACTAAATGAAAAGAAAATTTAAAAAATTAAAATACCTGAAATAATATAAAATTATTAATTGAAATTATATCCAAAATTAAACGGTTTCATATTTTAAATTAGACTTAACTCCAGTTCTTTTATTTTTCCTGCTGAAATTCAATACCTAAAAATGTCTTGAAATGGAAATGAACAGCATCTGATAGGAAATAGTCTGAAAAGTCATACATTATTTTCAAATGCTACACAAACTTTATTAACTATCAACACAACTAAAACTAAGTTTTAATACGGATGAATTATTGATTCTTAAATCTAGGACTAATTATGTGCAAGAAATTGTCATTATGTTATTTATATTCCATTTGAACACAAAGGTATCAAGCAATCCATCACCAATTCCTTCTTATGTGCTTCTCCAAATAATTACACAAATTTTTATAATGATCATTTTACCTTTGTCAAGGACGGGTTTACAAACATTTTCTTATGTACATTTAAAGTAAAATATACATTGTCTGGTCTGTAAACATTGTAATTACTTGAAATTGAAAGAAAATATTTCTTTAGCTGGTAGAGATATTTTTCACAATCACCTGTCTCAGTGTTGATACGGGACTTTTAGAAAAGTAACTATGCTATATCAAATTTGAGAAATTTAATTAGACAGATTCACTTAATGCGCTGGCTTTAATAGACCTTTCTGCATGTATCACAATTTCATGTAACTGAATGAGCCCTTTTTGTAGTTAAACACATAA